ACATTATGCTATTTGACCGTATAAAATAGACTTGATAACCATTGTTAAGTAGGTCTATTATTCATTTTTATTTTATATACTTTCTCTAATTTGTGCTTCGGTTGGCCTGTAATTATTGCACATAATAAAGTCTCTGCTAATGTAATTTATAAATTGGATTTTTTTTACTAAATCATATATTTTGTATCTTCCTTTCTTACTGTATTTTGAATTAATATGTTTTTGAAACTAAAAATAAAAATGCTAAACTACACTCCATTCTGTAGGACAGAAATTAGATTTCATTAACTCTATAATACATAAAGATTTTAAAATATATTTTTGACACCATGCTTACACATTTTCCCCCAGATAAAACCTGTTGTTCATACAATTCAGGTAAATTTTAGTATGTGCAATGATTAATGCATGTATTCCTATGCAAAGCTTTATTGGTTTTGTTTATTGGTTTTTTTTGGCTGCTGTACATATGTTAAACTTCAAAAAAATGTGAGTAGATTCTCTTTTCTGCCTGTAGGACATTTCCAGTATCTCCCATGTTTACATCTTTATTATTTGGTATTAAATATCGTTTGTTGAAATATAGTGACTTTTAAATCATTATAATAGACTAAACATCCAGATCAACAGGCAACTACAAAGTAGAGACATTCTGCAGTAGGGAGAGGGAGTAGGAACACAGCAAGGCAGGGAAGAGTACAGGGACTGTGGTGATGGTGTACGGGTGACTTGGTGGTGGGAATTTCATGGGGTCTACAGCCGAACGAGAAAGCAAACATTGTACAAAAATGAAAAGTGATTTTAACATGTATAAAATTGAAAAAGAAATACAGTGATTTTTTTTTATTTCAGTGTATATGTTATCTTTAATATGGTGTTATTTACTCAGTGGAGTATTTTGTATTCTACTATCTACTACTTAAGAAAATATGTTTTTGCATAGACACAATTTCCAATATATTTTACTTTTGGAAGGGTAACATTAAAAATTCTAAACTTTTGAATCAAAGCATAATTAAAATGATAATATTTGCTGTAGCTCCATCTTAAAGCAATTTTTCCTATCTTCCAGATAAACTGGAATGGATTTAGTTTTATTACCCCAGGTTTTTTTTTTACTTTTAAAAATTATAAGTATATATATTTTAAAATGTAATATACATTCATATACATTCATAGAATATATATCAAAGTACTTTAAACTGATGTTAATTTTTCTCATTATTTGCTGCAATTTCACTTAATTTTAACAATTTACATTTGAAAATAAAATGCTTTAAATTTAGTGTTTTATATAATCATCTTGGGTAAGATTAGAAAGTAATTATTAATAATCTCAGGACTGACCAAATAAAGCTTCCTCTGTACTGAGGAAGGCTAATAACCATGGTGGCATAAAAGGGACTGGGCTTATCTTTCCAACTCAAACAACAAAAATGGACAAAGGTATGAGACAGTTGTTTGAGTAACAGTGACTATCAGGCAGCGGAGGACTATAATTTTAAGAAAAGAAAAGAAAACAAATTAATTGAACACTGGATTTTTCCTAGCTACCAATTTAAGAATATTTATTTCCCATAACATGAAGCGAGAGAGCTTAGATGCAGCCAATGGACTCCCAAAGGAAAGTAGAAGTAAAGAAATCTTAAAAATAAGGCAAGAAACCAACAATAGATTTCTATGGAATTATGTGGCTCAAAAGTTAATCCTTTGAAATGAATAGCAAAATAGATTTTCAATGGTATTTATAAAAATAGTAAAAAAGAAGGCACTGAATCAAATAGAAATATAATATATAGGAAATAAATTATTAAGATAAAATTATCACCATTGCTTTACAACTCTAGACAGATTCTCCCAGAAAATAAAACCGATGGATAGTAAGGCTTTTATTGGGCCAGTATAACTTGATCCTAATCCAAAGGTTTAGTATAAGGAAGATAGCATAGCAGGTCAATATAACTTGTAAATAAAAATGTAAAAATCTTTCATGAAATGTAACTGAATTTAAAGAGATCATACTCAACCCAGTAAAAGGTGACATGAGCAGATAGTTAAGTTTCATTTATAATAGGGAAATGAAAAATTGGAAAAATTCTCTTTATAATCAATGTCCTAAAGGAATATAAAATTTCTCTGCTTTTTGCAATATAGTTCTTAGCATAGAAAGACAGGAAAAAGAAAGAAAAATGACTTTAGAATTGGGAATAAAGATAATCTACACAGAAAAGGCCAAAATAAATCACAAGACATTTACTAGGAAAAAAAAAAAAAAGAAACTTGATCGTAACATTATTTTGCAGTACAATTATGTTTCTATATATGACCAATTAGTTTTGAAAACAATCAGTTGAACAGTGTTTCTTACAACAACAGAAATTGTAGAATGCAAAGAATAAATTCAACAAATGTGGAAAATTTGAATGTGCAAAGTTCAGATTTTCATAGAAATTTAAATGGAGAGAATGATATGGCCGTGGCTAATACAACAGTGTGTTAGTACATACCAGTTCACTCTGACTTGTATTGATGCCATGCCATTCAAATAAAATCCCAATCGAATGTTTTTGTACAATTTGATTACCTGAATCTAAAATATTTATGGAGGATCAGAGAGATAATATCCAAAATATGATGGATTTGCTTTTCAGTGTTATAATAATAACAAAGGCAGTTAGCTACTGGTTTGTGGGTAGACAGACTGTGTAAGGAGAAAATAGAGAAAGCATCACATGGATGCTGGTTGATAAGATACATTGATCTATGACAGAGGTGACTGCAGATCTTTGGGGAAAGATGGAAATACTAAGTGAACAATGCTGAGGTATGTGTTTTATATGGAAAGAGCAAAGTTGCATCCATGTCTCATACCATAGCCAACCTAATTTATGATGGGAAGATAAGGGTGGAAATGCTGAACATATAATACTTTAAGTTTCAGAATAAACTATTTAATAGAATTATCTTCGTGCTCATAAGCTCAAGAAAGATTTCATAAACAAAATACTGAACCAAGATACTGAAAATAATATTTTTAAAAATAGAAATTGATGCATTCAATGACATTAAATGTAAGTGTTTGAATTCTTTAGAATGTGAAAAGACAAATGCAAATGGAACATAATTGCACTATATTTAATATTATAAGATTAATATCAAAATAGATCAAGACTTTTATCAAGATATAGTGTTTATGAAACAATCTCCATACTCCATCTCCAACAAGCCCCACTAACCCCCCCACACTCTCACAAGCATACTAAGATGAATTTTATTGTTTGCTTGTGTCATTCTTTTTTAATACTATAAGAGGATAGGACACTTGACAATATCAAAAGCATGTAATCCTTTTTACCTTGTAGCTCCCAATTCCATTTAGGTGGACTATGGGAGCCTTGGTGGTATGTGTGGTATGTGATATATCCTCAAGAGAGTGGCCCAATACCTCTAAATCATAATCATTGTTCTAAACTAATGTCATCTCAAGAAATAAAAATAAATAAAAAAGAAAGTCTGTCCCAAATCCAATGCATTCTTTTGTGCCCGATCTGTTGGGATGATATCAGATCTTTGTAGTTTCCATATATGTCATTTGGAGCTGTAAGAATCTTAGAGTTGACTGGGTATAAGCTTTTTGAGGTAAGGACTTGGATAAAAGAGTAACAGTTCATTCTGTTGGACAGCATGAGTAGACAGGTATCTTATGCTTTGTCATTACAATGGGAAAAATGAGAACCTTTGTCACTGACAACAAAGATTCCCTGTCCTAAGAGGGTAGGGATTAAAGTGAAAAGAAGAAAAAAAATAAAGGGTATTTGTTAGAGGAACTTGTAAATACTGGCAGGGGACTCCTGTTATTGCTACTTAGACACCTTATGCAACAGAAGCTCTCAGTGTTTTATAAACCTTTTAGGGAAGTACTTATTTTCTGATAATCAGGTTTAATTTATTTAACAAAATATGTATTGTGTAAGTAGACAGAAAAAAAAACCAAACACAAGTCTTTGAAATAGCAGTTGTCTCAACTATTAAATGTTTTCTGATAACAAGGAAAGAAAAAAATGATTTAGTAAAGGATTGTATTAGGTTGGGTGTGCCTTTTCCTGATATGTAGGAGAAAAGAAATATTAAAATATAAATTATAACATGATTTTATATGTGATATATTTCATTATTAAATCTGAATACATAATATGTTTTAGTCATCAGTGCCCTACTTAATCGAATTGAATGTTACTAGCCTGATTTTTGCACAGATTTTTTTTTAAAGGATGGCACACATAACTGAAGCTGTCTAAAACTGTTTCTTAAAAAATCTATCACAATGTACAATTTAGATATTTTAGTACGTTTAACGAATGAGTTCTCATTTTTTCTGAAAGCAAGAGATGTGCACACTAATAATGAGGGATGTTTAAGATGTCTTCAATAATGCTTCAGCAAACATGAAAAGTAAAGAATTGTGCATATTTAATTAGTCATGCAAATGAAAAAGACACATGAATGCTTTTGAAAATAACGTACTATGTTTTGAAATTTAGTTAGATTTAAGAGGCCTTATCTAAAAACATTTAAAATTGACTTAGCTATATTTGATTAGTTTTTGTCTGACTTTGCAACATACATGTGAAGAGGTATGAACCTGTATCCCCACATCATCGACAGTGTTACAACACTTATTAACTCAAGGAACATAATACAGTTTTAAAAACCAGCATCAAATAATATATATTATTATTTGATATTCAAGCTTTAAACCATTTAGGAACTTTATCATGCATTTCAAGAATAAATCTTGTATAAATAACTCCTCATCGTTCATATCTTCATATTCAAAATATGCACCAAAATAAGTGTTGGTGAACTCATAATAAATAGCCTCTCTATATTTTTTGTTCTCAGTTCTATTCAAAACCCCTTCATTTGTTTTGTAGGTTGGTAGGAATTTTTCCCCTGTAAGGAATCAACTATTTTAAGTATTGCTGTTGTTTGCTTTATAGGGTCAAAGAGAATAAGTGACAGTGAAGTGTCTGACTACGACTGTGATGATGGAATTGGTGTAGTATCAGGTAAGCAATTCATATATTGTATTAATAAAGAGTAAGTATAATTCACCACTATTAGTCACACATGTGAGAAAGGGAAGGGAGATAGAGTGAATGAAAGAACTTGGCTATTTATCACCTAAAATAAATTTATGGCAATTTAAAATTCCTGAATAATTTTAGTGGCTGGAGTACTTGTGCCAGTTGTAATATTGAAAATTCTTATTGAAATATGTTTGATAAGTGAATCCCTATAAATTTTCTAGTTTTGAACTAAATAATAATAATTTCACCAAATGTGAGGAGTTATTGTATAAGTTAAACTTATTTATTCTACATTAACAGTTCAAGGGAAAAATACTTTTGATATCACCAACATACCCAAATATATCAAAATTTTTAATGAGCTTTTATGGAAAATTTTCATTGTTAATAACAGCCATATATATCTACATTTTGAAATTGTTCTTATAGTTTAAAACAATTGTTCCTTTAGGATTAGAAATTTATCTAATGGTTTAGCATTTTAGACACTTAGTTATTTTTGATAAAATCTGAAAAAATATTTGTATATACTCATTATACCATTAGTATTATAAAAATATTTGATTCTTTTCTTGAAGTTTAGACACCCAACAGATTTCATAATTATGAGTCATTTTGCCCTCAACAAAATCTTCTATTGTAGTAAGACATGCTGCGATTCATCAATGACTAATAACAGTTTTTGTGAGTATGGGTCAATTACGCTATGTGTACTACTTTTAAAAAATGTAATGACTATCCTTTATCGTTCATTTCTTACACTAAGGCTTGAACATTATATTCATTTACTAAGACTACAAATTATTGTTTACTTCGTGTTTAATTAAGCCTCATTGATGTGGTTTTAAAAACCATTTCCCATAGTCTCTTCATTGGCTCTCATTTTAATTTTTTCTCTCTATTCTCTATTCTTTTCTTCTGTTCTATTCCTCTGTTAATGGTCTGACTATTTCTCTTCTGTAGACATCTGGTCACATTACGTCACCTTCATAGCATTTTTGGCACATCTCATTTCTTTCATTTTCTATTTTCAGGATGGCAAAAATATTTAATTAATGCAATCATTTTATTATGTTTCTCTTCTGCTAAAGAAATTATATCTCTTGAAAAAACAGTATCAGTATCATTCATTGTTTGGACTAATACTCTTGAATTGTTTTGTTTTTGTTGTTATTTCAGGATAGTGCACAGAAAACCTCTGTAATTTAAAGTGTCTACTCCTTTACACATTATTTTTCAACATCATGAAATTCATGTCTATCTCAGCACTTTTTTTACTTATGCAAAGACTATCATGAATCATTTAGTAATCCATTACAGAAAAACGAAGGCTGGGTGGCATCCTTTTTTTTTTTTTTTGCAGTGTTGAAATCCAGTGATTTTTGTCACACATAGTTATTTTCATCAAAATTTTAATAATGCATTACATCCTACTTGGATTTTGTAATAGTTAGAAACTTGAAGTCATCTCCACATTTTTATGACTATTCAAAATCAGGATATAGTATTGTATTTTCTGAAATGTTAACTTTCCATGGGCCCATAACTTAAATAAATGATACACTAATTATGTTTATGTGAGTGTCACGATAATGTAAGATTTAGTCATTTTATTTCAGTTAAGAAATATTGTTCTTATGTTTTATTTCACTTTCTGTTTTAAAGCTCTATCATCAAGACTAGTTTCCATAGAGAATAAATGTTTCAGTCATAGTGTATAAAATAATTTGACTACAAAATCAAGCAAGTAGTCCTGTATTGTCCACAAAATTATTACAGTTCAATTTTGAATGGCATATCTACATACACACATATATATATAACCTCTTCCCCCACCTTAACTAGCATTTTGAACACATAGTATAAATCAGTATAACAGCAAGCAAATCTGTTAAGACTTTGTTGCTCTTAAACAGGTATTTGTTTCTAATTGCAGATGACTTATTAGCCACCTCCAATATATATATGGACCATATATATATATATATATATACACACACACACACACACACATACATACATACACACACACACAGTGTCTGCAATCTAACTATATATATGGACCACACACACACACGTCTGCAATCTATCTATGTATCTATTGAATGTGTGTATGTGTAATTGCTGGCTCATATGGCAGATACATTTGAAGTCTTTTAGGAAACATCCTCACTATTTTCCATAGGGGTTGGACCGGTTTACACTTCTACAAACAGTATAGCATGTATAGTGTCTGTATGTGTGTGTGTAATAGGTATAGAATAGTAGGGTTTCTTTTTCTATAGGTTATCCTCATGTCCTCATCAGTATGAGGTGACCTCTTATTGTGGTCTTGATTTGATTCCTCTAATGACAAATGATTGTGAACATTTTTCATGTTTCTTTTGGTCATTTGTATGTCATCTTTAGAAAAGTAATTTCCTAAGTCACTTATCTTCCCTTGTGCTCATTTTTTAGAATCATATTTGAGTAGCACTTTACATTATTAATCATGAATGATTTCTTAAAACTTTACATTTTTTGCATGATGTGCATTATTTTCCCACATGATTGCATTATCTGAATTATCTTTTTGTAATGACTCTTTTTTTGTTTTCTCAATAGTCGCCTCTACCTTAAACTAGGTAGTTAAATCTTTTTTCTCTCTATACCATTCTACTTTGGATTTTAGTGATTCTTTTTTTGGAAATGATTCTCAAACTTTTATTAATAGTCCTCATTCTTCTCTCAGGAGGATTCTTTCCCACATATATAACTGTAACGCCAATATTGCCTGAAAACAGCCTTATCTTAATCTTCTAAACCTTGCTGAATTTCTCACTCTTTATAGTGTACTCTTAACTTCCTGAAGGGGTAAAATAAAGACTCTTTTATTTTTTCTTTACATTTGTTCTGTGTCTAGTCACAAAATATTATTGATTCATATTAGATTACCTGCTAAGGATCATCCTTGGACTTTTTGTGTACTTACAGTACTTTATAAACACATACCTTCATAAGTATTTGTTGAATGAATAAATGTATGTAGTATCAATCGCCAAATACCAGAGTCAAACTATTTGTGGCTATTTAAGTCTAATTAATTTAAAATGAATGCACTAAACATCATTTCCTCATAAACACTCACCAGATTTCTGGTGCTCAAGTAGCTTTCATAATGGTGAACACTGGTAGATATCATTTCCCTCCTCTTAGAGAGTTCTATAGGACATTGATATTCTTAGTTTTGTAAGAGTAGTTATTCTTGCTGCGACATCTTTAACATTTAGTTTGACTTCTCTTCTGTTCTCAGCTTCATTATTACTTAAATCATGAGAGCGGAATCTAGTATTAGATGACCATGAGAGTAAATGAGTCAGATAGAACTTTTTTTAAATCCTAAACCAATTATTTGACACTTAGTATCAATTTCCTTGTCTCAGTGTCATCAAATGTAAAAGGAGATAATATCTTTTATTGCAGATGTTTCTGTTATATAACATGTTTTCCTGGAAAACACACACACACACACACACACACACAACCCTTGTGATCTGCAAGTTCATGGACCAAAACCAACAGGGCTTCTGGGAAAACAGGCCTAGATAAGACTATTCAAAAACCATGCAGCTTTGTAATCAACACTAAAAATAAAAATGCAAGCAAGCATAAATAAGAAGTCATATTAAATTTTAGTAATAAAAACCATTAAGATGTTGGACTTTAAAATGAAATGAAGGAATCTATATGGAAGGAGTATGTCTAGATGGAAAAGAGAATAAGTCTGCAAAGTTATGGTGTCGAGGAATGTTTTCATAAACACCAGGAAAAACTTTTGCAGTAAGTACCTCTAACACAGAGTTCATGACCAAAGTGAGCCAAGAGGAAGAACATGTGGCTGGTGAACATGCCATGCGGGTCTGTATTTCTCTGGCATGCTGCATCCAGCTATTTTACAGTGTGTTGTATTCAGTTACTACTATATGGTAGTTGTGGTGGATACTGTGGGTGCCTCACCCCAGACATTTTTTTCTCTACTCCCAAATCTCATCATCCTCTTTGTGATGACTCTCCCTGCTGCTGTACTTCCCAGGCAGCTGTGCCAGCTTCACACCTCTTTCCTTAACCTTTCTTTCACTGCCCCTATCCAGGTCTCTTAATATTTGCTGTCCTGTTGGCTCTCCTGGATTTCTCTGCCCTTATTAGAAGCCTCTTTAATTCTCCCAAAGTCCCTGCCTGTACTGTACCTGAAGCGGTCTACTTAACCCTGAATTGCCCTAGGATTCATTAGCTTTCTAAGTATTTGAATATTTGTCATTTCTTTTTAACTTTAGGGGTTACAAAATTTTATTGTACCTAAGCATTATGCTTTATTCACTATGCTTTATATGTAATATATCCAAACCCTTTCAATTTTAGCAACACTTCATAGTTCTCAATGAAGAAATAAAAAAGTGTGTAGACCATTATAATGTTAATCTCTCCACCTTTAGATTATCGACATAATGGTCGAGATCTTCAAAGTTCAACATTATCAGTACCAGAACAAGTAATGTCATCAAATCATTGTTCACCATCAGGGTCTCCTCACCGAGCGGACGTAATAGGAAGGACTAGATCATGGTCGCCCAGTGTCCCTCCTCCACAAAGGTAAGCGAGCATGCAAATTCTATTTATATTATCATACCGTAAGACTGTTTATTATAAAGTATCATGACTAATCTCAAAAGATAACACATTCGTATGGAAAATGTTATTGAAAGAAAAATAAAGATGATATTTAATAGCCTGTATAATGAGACTAATATGAAATACGGGCCACTTTGTAACTTTGCATGATATAAGTATTATTTTATGATGAAGTTTCACAATCATATAGAAGTTCCAGGTTTCAATCATCTACTGAGCAGATCTAGTTAGAACATGAATGATGTAGATACTGAAAACTTAATGAACATAGGGGGAAAAAGCCATCCGTTGGAGCTTTAAAATTAGGATAATCAGGGCCCTCCCTGCTGACGCAGTGGGTTGAAGCGCTACATTGTGAAGCTAAACCAAGCTGTGGCCACTTCAGTGCGAATTCCATCCCCACCTGGAAGTGACCACATGGCCCGGCGACCTCTCCTTTCTTACCCATTGCTCCCCTCAGCAGTGTACTTCCTCGATCTGCCTGTTCTGCTCCCCACTCTGTCTCTGGTAAATCCTCTCCCCACCCCTGCATATCTGGCCTGTGCCCCATTTCTTTATACATAAGTAAATAAAAATCTTTTTAAAAATTAGAAATAATAAGAATACAAAGGAATAGTCAAGCAGTGGGAAAAACAGCTCAGAAAACTTGGAGCTTCACATCTTATAGAGTGGAAAACTGCCTATTTAAATTCAGTTATATTCAAGCAGGCTTAATGAAGTAAGACCCATGTGTAACATGTTTTCTAATAATAAATACCTGCATAATTCACATTTTATATACTTAAACAATGACAAAGTAAATTTGGACTCTTCTGATAGCCTTATAACTCCTATTTTAAATAATAACCTTATAACTCCTATTTTAAGTGAATAATCAAGTTAGTTTTAGACTTAAAATTCTCATTAAGAAACCTAATTAAATGTAATTTTAATTTTATACATGGTATAAACTGTCCCAGGGACAGTTATTTAACTTATAAGCACATTCAACACTTAGAACTTTCATATAATTTAGACAATTGAAGTAATTTTAAAAAAGCAATTACATTAAATTTAGAAACATAATTTAAAATGTTTGATTGCATTTTAATTAACTAAGTTTGTAAGTCAGACCAAAATTACTAAAATCAATTTGAAAAGTACTCAGTTAGATGTGATAGACTTATCAATATAATAAGATTTTTAATCTGAAATTTAGTCTCCAATTACATTTTGAATTTGTAACTTGAATAAATTAAGTTGTTATTCATGTAAAAAAGAGGAAGTCTTGAATTTTACCTAGGAAAGATTATCTCAATAGGCCAATAGAAAACATGTATAGGTTTATATTAGATTCAGCTGCACATAATAGGAAAGTCATACTAAGAACTTACTTATAGAGTAGTAGTACTATACCTCTGAATCACAGACAGCATTGTAAACGAGTATCATCTCGATTTTAAAGAAAGGCAATAAATAAATGAACAAGCAAATAGTTTTTTTCTATCATGAAAATGAACTAAGTAGAATTGAGACTAAGCATGGTAGCTTAGAAATAAATCATCTTTTATCAATTATAAAATTTCAATTTAGATTTTGAAAATCAAATTACAATCATTATCCCTAAAACAAAATCGGCTAATAGTCTGTCTCTAAGCAACATGCTGAAATCATTTCCTATGCACAAATCTATCCTTCTATATTCCATTGTTATTGAAATCACTACTAAAGACCTAGGGACCTATTTTACTAGTTTCAAGTCCTTATTTCTATCCCCATTGATTCTAGCTTAATTTTATAGCATATCTCTGTTAGAGCAGTAATGAAACTCTCAGTCTCTAGTAGAAATCGGTACCATTAACTAGACGTTCAGGTTTGTTGGTCTTGTTATTACAGTGATTTTTGTCTTTAACTATTAATAAAACAGATTTCTTAATGTAGCATATGATTACAATTTATAAGATATTTGATGGATCTTGTTATTTCAGTCGGAATGTGGAACAGGGACTTCGGGGGACACGCTCCACTCCTGGACATTATAACACAATTAGCCGAATGGATAGACATCGTGTCATGGATGACCATTATTCTCCAGACAGAGACAGGTAAAGATAACTAAATACTATTAGACCTTATTATAGCTGCTGCTTTCAAGAAGAAAGTGTTACCCTAAAATGTGTTCTTCCAGAATTTGGGGATTTATTATCTTAGTTTCTAAAACCTTCACATCTACCTTCATTCTATGACTACCAATCAATAAAAAATAAATAAATAAATACTTAAAACAAAAGCTGTCTTTTCTTTGGTAAGAAAAAAGTAAAATCATATTACCCTTGCAATTTTGGTTCTTTGTTAAATTATACCAGTTATTAGTGAATTTGCATGTGAGGCTAATATGATATAGCTATAAAACAATATGTGTTACTGTTTCTAACATTATAACCAGTTATTATATATAAAATTCATGAGAATAGACTTGGAAGTCTTTTGTACTCTTCAGCAAAACTAATGAAATACTTTTACATATATAAAGGTGTTATAACAAGACAAATACAAGGACTGACTCATGAAGTTTTTCCTCATGGCTCTTAGGAACCTTTTAAGCATCTTAAAGAATCATGCTTGTTGATTGCTGTGTGTGTTTGGAGCAATTCTCTGAATTTGCACCATTAGCAGTGAACCTATCTGGGAATAACATTATTATATTACAATGTTTACAGTGATTATTACTAATCTTTTTAAAGTTAAGCAAGTTGATTAAGCCTCTTATTTGTGGTTTGGTCATATTGAAAATTGTAACTGTTATGATATTTCTCCTAAATTAACAAACAGGTTTGAGATAAGGTTTAGGAAAGCTTAATATACTATTCAGAAAATATTATGATATAATGAGACAACTAAGGAGTCCCTTTTGTATGTAGTCCAAATCAATTTTAGAAAATGCTTGGAGGCTTATAAATTAACTGAAATGAAAAGTTGCTTTCCATATTTATAAATTTAATTCTTCTAAATGTAGGCATTGTACTCAATTCAAACTTATAATTAAAAGTATTTTAGCTTACTTTTCCAAAGAATGAGATAGGGAATATCTTAGTTTTCAACAATAGCAAACAAGTTTTGGCTGTTGTAGCTGAGATCTAAGGAGATATTAGGAAGTTATTAAATTAATCTCTGTATTAACATCAAATTTATTTTTAAAATTGACTTTTATTATAATAGTGACATGTCTTGATGGGTAGTTATTGAAATACTACTGAGAGAAAATGGCATTTATTAAATGCAATAACAGTGAAATGAAGATATTACTATCATTAGAAGGAATTTAGGATAGAAAGAGTATTTTTGTTGCCTGCTTGGTCTTTAGTAAGTTTATTTCTGGAAATTTTTAAAATAACAATTCATAAACTCCTTGTTCATTGGAATTTTGTTAAGAAAGTGGTAAGAAAATACATGAAATGATATTTTAAATCTTTCACAATTATGTAATTTATTTTATTTTAAAATGGACTATATCTTTTATCTGACAATAAGGTGGTCTAAATTTTACAGAGAAGAATAAAATTAGCTTTTAGCATGATGTTCACAAACAAAAACTTTTACTTTATTTTTTTAGTCGCTGTCATGTTGAGGTATAGTATTTTATCAAAATTTTAAGATAAATGGCCCTAAGTTTTAAGAAAACAGAGTGTGCTAGTAAATGCTTGTTAACTATCTTGGTATCAGCCAACATAGCCTGAACTTAAGTGTCATACTTTTCCTGTCTACTTTATAACTATGACTCTTTCTGCTTAGCAGAAATGTTCAGATAGTTATTTTAGAAGTTTTGGAAGAAATTGATCCATGTGGTTTCATTTATTCTCTTATAGTACTATAGATTGCCAAATCATAAATAACAAATCCTTTCAAAAAGTTAAGTAGAATTTTACTGAAATAGCACTATAAAATATTTATAATCTATTACTTTTGAGTTATCTTGTAATCGTATTTCTGTAACACAAGGAATTAATCAAAAGAATTGTAATTTTTATGTACTTTTAAACTAACATATCACTGAAGTTCCTCTTTCTCATAGGATTTAGAGCCAAATGTAATTGGTATTGAATTTAGGATTTTTACTACTTGCTAGCTGTTTTTCTGGGGGAACAGAACCTTTTGACACTTGATTTCCTTATCTATAAAATTAGTATCAACCTTATAGAATTGTTGGGTAGATTAAATGACAGTGCCTCCCTTTGCATAGTCAGTATTCAAAAATGTGCCTTACCTTTAACATTTTAAATAACTATTTCAGATTACATATAATTTACATTTTAATGGGTAATCAATTATAGATAAGAAAGAAAACAGTCAATTTAGATGTGTGTGTGTGTTTTTAAAGCTTTGTATAGAAGGTAAGACATGAGTTGGACCTTGGAAAATTAATGTACTTATCCAGGCAGGAATGTGAGCAAAAATTCTAAGGCAGATATATTTCTGAATTTACACATATAATTCAGAAAGACAGTTTGAAAGATGGACGATTAAGGACATATTGGAAAGTTGTACATGAAGATAATGACTTTTGCTTTGGCTACATTGGGTGGGAACTAATCTATCAATATCTAACATTACTATATAGGACTTGGTTAAACTTAAATGGAAGGAGATAATAATATATCCTTATAGGTAATATAAAAAGAATTATTTATCATAATATGAATGGGTCTTTACTACTCTGCATATCTCACACTGTTATCAGTCAAGACCCTAGTCTATTTTGAAAATTAAATAGGTTCTTTACCTGTAATTCAGAAATTTGGATGTATGATATTGGTGAAAACAATTTTAAGGCACATCTTCCATTTTTCCTCCATTTCCCCTACTTTTTGATATCATTATTTCTCTGGTAGGGATAAATCTAATGTAGTTAAATCATACCAAGTACATTTAGAAGCTATAAAATTGTAAATATGAAAATGAGATACAGCATGAAATTTTGTATTAAATTGTGTTTAGTGGAATGTTAGCTCTCAAAAAAATAGGTTACTGGGCCCTCCCTGGTGGTGCAGTGGGTTAAAGCACAGCACTGAGAAGCTAAAGCCACATCCTCATGAGTTTGATCCCTGCCCACATAGTGTGGCAGACCTCTCCTGACCCACCTGCTGCTCCCGTCAGTGGTGTACCTCTCCATTTGGCCTGTTCTGCTTCCCACTCTGTCTCTGGTGAATCCTCTCACTGCTCCTATGTCTCTGGCCTGTAACCTAGCTCTGTATATACAAAAAAATAAATCTTTAAAAAACAAACAAAAAAAAGGTTACTGAAGGAAGAACTATCTTAGCTCCATTTTTGCAGTCTTTTTGTATGCCCAGTGGCTGCTTGAATGACATTCAAACTAATTCAGTAGATGGAAGGATAATTCATCATAAATACAATTTTCTTCTGTCTTTAAAGGTTATGTTACTTAAGAATCTATGCATCTAAGAAACTGGGCCAGTGATCTAGTTTATTTCATTGAATAGTGACATTAGCAGGCTGAAGAATGTGTGTGATCCCCAAATCTTGCGCACTCTAAATAGGTTCTGCTACCCAGACAAGACATACTCTTTGTGTGTAATACCTTCAGTAGAGAAGAACTTTAGTCAACTAATTGTACAGCAGAGAAGAGGAAAGATAATAATTTCCAATAAAATCCTCAAATTTACTCTCCCTTCACAGGTAAATGCTCAGCCAGGAGGGGTTGGTCCAAAGTGGGGTCACTGAGGCCCAAAAACTTGCCCCAAGTCTAATGTTCTGGGAGGGGAATATTAGAAAGGGCAGAAAGGTCAAGATGAATGCCGCCATTGTCGGCCTCCCCACAGGTGTCTCACCCTGTTTCTTCCAAATACCCACTTCCATGTCTCTCATGTCCCTGGTACACATCTAAGGCTGAGACAAAGCACCTTCTTCTTCATCTATCTGCTCCAGTTGTCTCCTCAAAGTCTTCTTTCCCAAGTCCTATTAGCTTCCTTCCCAGCTCTCAGTTCTGTTCTTTGTTAGGTGAGGCAGGTTGGAACATGAACATGGAATGTCCCCTTTTTAGATTATAGTTACAGTGATACATTTTAAATGATTATTTTAGACTTTTTTTTTTTTTTTTTGCTTTTTAAACTTAGTGGAGGTTTTTGGGTGTTTTTTTTTTTGGTATTTTTTCTTTTTTACATGAAATGTGCCTCTGTTCATTAAAAAATACAAACAGATTGGTTTATGTAGTTTTAAATATAACTTCAATTCCTTGTACATATTCAAGAGAGTATTGTTTAGATTTTATAATGTCTATTAATTTTGAAAGAATAGTAAACATGATGTAATGGAAAGTGTAAATAACATGTTTTTAAGTTACACCAAGGGAATAGGGCAAAGAAATTTTGATGCATCTTTGAATGTTTGATCAAGTGTAGGGACTTAGTAAAACAGTATGGTTCATTTTGTAAATATTCATATAATTTCCACTGCCTTTTAAGGGGCAGTCATGACTAGATTGCATTATAAGTGATAATATGGCTATAGAAAAGCAGACAGACAGGGTTCACCAGAGAAAAAGAAACAGAATCAGTTGGTCAGAGAGAGCAAGAGATAAACAAGAGGTTGGCTCACATGATTCTGAAGGCTGGAAAGTCCTGCTATCTGCAAGGTGATACCCATGAAACGGTGGTGTAATTCAGTCTGAATCTGATGGCCTGAGAACAGGAGGACAGATGGTGTAGATTCCAGCAGAGGCCAATCAGAGATTTAATCAGAGTCCTTTGTAATGTAGGGGAATTGTTTGTTTGTTTTATGTAAAAAAAAAATTTAAATACGTTCTGCTTACAAAGGGAAATTATAAAACAACTGCTTCAGCCATCTCATTTCACAAATGGAGCACCAGATGTCCATATAACCAAATGTCTGATCAAGCCTCCCATTTGGCAGGTTTCTTTCCCTGTGGTATCTGTATTACCCTAAAACAGCCATGTGTAGAGGACAGAAAGCAGCTGGAAATGTTCAGTGAAACCCAAAGAAAAATCAAGGTTAAGAAAGCGAGTTTGCACTTTAAACACAAATAGTATTATCCAGAAAGAAGGTGATAGAATGTAAAGAGAGTTAAGGA